TCCAATTACTTCTTCTCAATACCATCTTAAGCTAACGTTTCAGCGGTATTAATGCACCGCTGTCCGACGAATAGAATTACCACAACATCGTATTGTCGCGCAAAGGAATTTAATCGACCGAGATATTGGAGAAACGTTTCAGCAATAATAACATTGACTTCGTACGCCATGTGAGTCTCAAACGCGTAATCTTACGAGCTTACCTTACACAATCAAAACTGCGCCACTGTCATGTCATCCGGCCGTCCGTAGGCGGCTCCGAAATTCCAGCGAACGACGCGGTCAGTCACCATGAACCTCAGTCTCGCTGGCACTATTGTCACTTCGTTCCCGTGCGATGAACGGATCGGTTGTGGCTTTCAAACGGCCGCGTGCATTTCCGGCAGGCGAAAGAAATGTCGCGGCGATGACCCGGACGACGACACCGCTCGTACTTCGTCTTGTCCTCCGGTTATGGCGATTGCGCGACGAATCGAGACCGTGCCACAGTCGTCCACGTCGCGGAAGGCACTCGCGTTGATCACGGAGATGAAAGAGCAAGATGCGACGCAGCGCACGTGTCTACGGGATATCCGCGTCGATCAGACTACGCGAACTGTCGCTCCGCGACTGACCGACAGCGGCTTTCGCGCCGTCGCGTCTTCGGCCGGCTCCGCCGCTCCGCTCGGCTGTTCTCGGCCGCGCTCGGCCGCGCTCGGGCGCGCTCGCGCGTGGCGACGGGGCCGACGATCTCGCGCGCGGAGCATCGATGACAGATCAGCTGCTCGATTTCATCTCGCGGTCAGTTCAACGAATTCTTCAAAAAAATACCAACTCTAACGTATACTCGAAATTTTATTGAATATTATAAGTTACATATTATATTCTCGATAAATATCATCCGATAAGTGAGTTAGAATGTTTCTCGCCCGAGGGAAAGCACCGACGAATCAACTGATCGATCTATTTTCCAAATATTTATACACGTAACAGTAATGTGATGGAAAATAATGATATAAATAAAGTACATATCTAATGTCATTTGTTTAACTCAGATCAGCTGCTCGATTTCATTTCGCAGTGTGTTTGACAAATTCTTAAAAAAAAATGTCAACTCTAATGTATATTTGAAATTATTGAATGTTATGAATTACAAACTGTATTCTTGATAAATATTGTCTGGTAAATCAGTTAGAGTGTTTCTCGCTTCAGGGAAACCACCAATGAATTAGCTGATCGATCTATTTTCCAGATATTTATATACGTAACAGAATAATGTAGTAAAAATAATGACACAAACAAATTACATATTTGATGTAACTTATTCAAGCTAAATTAGCCGTTTGATTTAATTTCGATCAGAGCCGACTTTCATATAAATGAAAAAAGAATATATATATATATATATATATATATATATATACATATATATATGTATATGTGTTAATGTATCTTCGAAATTACTGAAAATGTTGAAAATTATAAACTATATTCTCGATAAATATCGCCTAGTGAATCGGTTAAAGTGTTTTTCGCGCAAGAGGAAACCGATCAGCTGATTGATTTATTTTTCAGATATTTACTCGTAACAACGATGAAAAATAATAATGACATAAATAAATAACATGTTTAATGCCATTGATCCGACTCAAGAAACACTTCATTTTCAGTTTCAAGATATGTTTTAGTCCGAAGGAGGACTAATAACACTGTATATCTTAGACTTGACGTAGGTATCTACGTCTTCTTATCTTTTAAAAAAAATGTTTCTTTGCACTCCTTAAAGAGTAACGTTGGTTGGTTGTTATTCCTTAAAGGGTGATACGTTGGCTTGCAAAATATCTAATCTACAAATCTTTTGATGCCGTGTAATATCAACATCGACTAATAAACCATATTTTGCACGATTATCTAGCAGTATATCGTCATCACTTCAGGCGATAAAAGAATCTCTTTGTTGCGTTATCGAGATGACGTTACTCGAAACACACACATACGATTATCGATGCATTGTGTTCATTCGCGCGCGATAAAACGGAAGAATCAAATTACGATTAATTTCTAAGAAGCTCGACTGCTAAATATGCCGACGCGTATTGCATGCCAGATCATTTCTCTAATAATCTCGTCAGTGATATCCCAGTAAAATCATCGTGGCATATTCGTAATCGCACTCTGCTTTCCCCCGCCCCCCTCCCCGTCCGTTTTCCACGCCGCTGCGCTGTTAGAATGTTACATAATGGCGCCAGATTTTTCACAACTGTTACATAAAAGATGGATTTATCCCTCGCGCGCGGCATACCGCCCTTACACGTGAAAGCGGCAAAGTGACTATTACGTTTAGCACGATGCGAAATCACGCTAACCTGATTTGCGCGGATTAGGCGAGAGCGGCCAAATCACGAATTCTGCAGATTACTGTGATCGATTTCGCCACTCGTCGGACGTTATACGGCCGAGAGCGAGGAAATCCGCGTAATACTGAGAATCGTCGGGCCGAGAAAGCTAAAATTGCGTGTAATGGTATACCGGTCGCCTGTAAGAAATCGTCCGAGATCGAGCCAGCTGGATAAAGCCAAGTACCCACGACAGAGCCGCTCTGTCAAATTTTAAATGCCCCCTCCTACCCGATCTCGCCGCGCCTCGTAAATCCCCCGGAGGGCACATCTCGCGACCGGTGACGGCGGTCTGTCGCGCGAGTAAAAAATTTGCCACGACTTTCGACTGCACCGTGGATCGGCTCTACTTCTTTTTCTCTCTCGAAGCTTCCACAGTGAGAAATTTATCCTCGGAGGAAAGATTAATGTACTTAAAAACGCGATTAAAGAGTGTTTCGTAGAATTCTCTTCGCGTCGTCTGTGGGAAAATCAATTGTGTTTTGAATAATGAATATTCGTGACAAATACATTAGATCGTGTCTCACGTTATTTCGACTACTAAAATCAAACATTGTATTGTGAGAGGGACATCCTACTCTTACTTCGAAATACATCTGTACACATCCGAAGGCCGATAAAATCGACGATCATATTTTCCTCCGAGAGATCCTGCGAAAAATCTATGCCGCACGCGTGAAAGCAATTTCTCGGCGAGGAAGGAATTGCAGTTAGATGCAGATTTCCAATAAGAGTGCAATGACATTCATCATCATTTAGAAACGGCGGCTGCTGGATGACTCGTTGCTGAAGCAAGAGGCATAGAGAGAAAGAAAGAGAGAGGGAGGGAGAGAAAGAGAGAGAACGAGAGAGAAAAGGGACGAGGGGAAGGGGGTCGATTTCAAGGTCAGACTCCAGGATACTCGGTCGTGTAGTATCAACATAAATCAAGATTAATACACCACTTCAACGGAAGAGGAGCCGTGCCTCTTCATTGGTCACGGCATCTCCGTGTTCCTCTTTACTAGAGGCGCACGTCGATCGTGATGAAATTTATAGATTATTTCATAAATTCTCGCCTCTAGTTAGCGCAGCTTCTCGCACAAAAGCACTCGTCGCTTGCAAATTTGTAAATGCCACTCAAGAACAAAAAAAGAAATAACAAAATGAATGAAATCGCAGCAACTTTCGTTTATTTTCAACCACGGGTTTGTTCGCGAAGGAACTTCGACATTAAACTACTGCTTCTAACAAAGCGATTACTCATAATCCAAAAGCTGAAATATTAATAGAAATTAAATATTCTTCGAGAGTATATTCTTACTTGATTAAGTATTATCTAATTAATACATCCATTTCCTATTTAAACACGCAGCAGCTAGTAATTCTTTGATTGATATAGCCTTACTTAATTAAATATCATTTAATCTAAAAATATCTAAGATATAAAGTATCTTAGATACCAGATTAAAAAATATTTAATTAAGTAAGACTATTGTTTTAACCTAAAAACATCTAAAAAATTAAATATATTTATTCAGTGGACACACAACTAAAATATTTATATTTATACTAAGACATTTGAACTAACCAAATATTTTTCAAATAAAAAAAATATTTTTTTTTTAAATCTTAGTTTTTTCCATAAAATCAACTGTTTATTCTATTTAAATATATAAAAGAATTTAGATTTAAATAAATATGTTATTAATACCTGAATATATAAATATCTTTTACTTTTGAAGTGTTTTTTCTCTCAATATAGTAATCTATCGACTAACTACTGATTAAAGAGAGAAGAAATACCTCGAGACACCAAACCTATTCATTTGAAATCATTTGGGATTTTCACCACAGGTAGCATTAACAAAGGTATATTACTTAAAAGTATCTGTTTACAACAAGTATTTGCGAATATCGCTGTCCAACGTTTATTGCCGGACATTGTATCAGACATTGCATGATTCGTGTTTCGATCAACGAACTTCTCAAAAACTTCTCAACTTCGATCGTCATATTTGTTTCTCTCTGATCTAGATGCTTGTGTGTGCATCCTCAAGTGTACACAATGCACACTCATAACACCTCGAACAGGTGACGGTCTAACGGTTCAGCGACACGGAATTTCTCCGATACCTTATACCCGCAGCCGCACAGATTTCCCTTCGTCAACGAAGTTACAGGCACACTTTTCCGCGGACGTACGACCTCGACAAGCGTGTCGAGATTAACGTGCGTACAGGATGTTTCAGATTCATCGCAATTCCTTTTCACACGTATAAGCTTTACGTCCGTTTTGAACGCCTCAGAACTTTCCTCGAATGAAAATGTCGCGCCAATATCTCGGTCTTCGAGCGATTTGGTACATAAGACAGATATACATATTCTTCGCGAGTCGAGTATCCTTTAGCGAGCAAACAACGAAGCTTCGTATCAATCAAACCTTGTTTGATTCGGCTTAATTCACGCTTATGAAGGATCTTAATGTCAAAAATCGCCGCGAGCCAGAACGACCGCTCGGATTTTCGTTGAGGAAAGCCTGGCGACGGAGCTGAGAATAATGCTAATGACAAATACGATTTCAATTTCGACTCACCGTAATGTCCAAAGCGACCAACGTAACTTAAAACCCATTTTATGTCACAGTCACTGATGTAACGTTCGCGCGAGCGACTTCAGCTCATTGCTCGAAGTCGGTTGGAAACACACTAGGGGTGCGTGTTGAGGGTCACGCATGGAACGGTACAACCGCTGCCAACGGTCACGTGCCAAAACACCGGCAACCACCATCTGCCACATATACACACACATAGGTCGGTGTATAGATATAATGAACGTAAGTACTGCCGTTCCTTCAACGCGCGTCTCGTATTGATCCCCGTCTTATTTCGTGACACACCAGTCTGTGTGTATGCGTTTGAATTGCAGCGCTATTTCGTGTCCCACCAATAGTGTAAGTTTGGTTGGACGCGCGCCGGTGTATATTGAGCCAACTAACATCGTTAGATAACAGATTGTTTCATTTTAATCCGATACATTAATTAGATTTAAGCAGTTATCGAATTTTCACGCGACATTTCTTACATTACGAGAGAAATATATCTAAGAAATAAAAAGGAATTATTCGGTGGGTGCTAATAATATATTTACTTACACTAATATAAAATGATTTCCAAATAAAAGAATATACATTTTCTTGAAACCTCCTAGCTTTTCACGGAAGCAATTGTTTAATCTATTTAAACAAAAGAATTTGGATTTAAATAAATGTGTATTGCAAATAATTTTTCGTGTTAAATTCAACGCATTTCACATGTTCCAATTTATCCACTCTAATTTTTGTGTTAATTTAACAAATAAGGCAAATATGGCAAATATAAACAAATAACACAAATATAAATAAATATAAATAAATAAGGCAAATATAAACAAATAACACAAATAATGTGTCGAAAATTAATACTGAAATATGACATCTGGATACTATTGTGTTATCTTAACTTAGAAATAATGAGTTGAAGTAACCCAACGACAATATGTTAAATTAACACATGGATATGTTAAAAGTTTAACAGAAAAATTCTCACACAGATTGGGTTCAACACAAATACAAAATATTTTCTACTGTGTGTTATTAGTATTTACCAAATAAGTATTTTTTATTTTTTACATATTTTTTCTCTCAGTGCATGTATTGTCTCTCTCTTGTTCTCTTTCTTTGTACATAAAAATGAATAAAGTTAAAATTATATTTATTTCACTCCAATTTAAATGCTACTGTGAAATCAAATCGAATAAAACGAAATTCAAATTCAAGCGAGATAAAGTCAAATTTAAATTAAATCAACTTCAGGTTTGTGTGCGTGTGTGTATGTGCATGGACGGTCGCATATAGCGTGAAGTTTCCGGTAAGAATACAGGTTTTTGTCCCGGTATGACGGTATTTCACCGCGGGCTTCGAAAGCTCGAGAACAGGTCCATTTTCCAACATCGCGGGATTTATCAAGTCGCTCGGCCGGGTTAGGTAATATCGCCCTTCGGGTCTGGTTATGGAAATGAATGCTCGTTGGATTCTACGCGACGCGGATGGACATACAGTACCTTCCACAAATTCCCGGTACGCGTCCGCGCAATTCGTCGGAATTGGACGTGTAATTACATATCTAGAATTCACGCGTAAATCTCGCATTTGTCCCGGAAGGATCCCGACGAGTAAGATCGGCGAGACTGTTTCGCGCGATCCTGCGCGACAAACGCGACGGCGTTTGGCCGCACGCGTACGGCACGACTACTTGTGGACGCCACTGTATTACGTAATCGTACATTCTCCATGGAGATTCCTCGATTCCCGAAGAGATTCCGTAATCCGTACATATTATCCCGGCCATCGTTTGTCCGTAATTTCTACACGCCGTCCACGTGAGCAGATGCAATTCCGTCACGTTGAACTACACGTGTGCAGAACCGCGAGCGCGAATGGATAACGGGTTGAACGATGATAAACCGATTCATCATATTTGGATGATTCGTGAAAATTGCACTCAGCTAGTCTGATAAACATATTTCGACCATTAACCGTTCATTTAATCGTGATATGCAAAATACCGTCGCGTATCGTGTGCGGAATTTGGAAGAATTATAGAATCTTTCTCTTCATTTTCGACGCTTCCGTTATTATTTTTCCACGTAATTCTGTCTTCAGAAAATTCCCAAGATGTTATATAATTCATAATTATATATAAAGTTATTTTTGTAATAAAAAATCTGCATAAGAAATTTCTCCTTCTCTTCATCCTTCCCGATTTCACGAAATAATTGTATGACTGGGACATCAGTTCTTTCGTTCCCCTCATCTTCAATTTCAATTAAATAATTATCATCTAGACAAACTTATATTTCAGCAGGTGCGACCTGCCGCTTTAGATGTCGCTGCAAGCAGTAGCATGTTCAGCAACACGCGCCTGCAGCGGATGCAACCAGCGCAACGGTACGTCAGCGAGATTGCAGTGGCAACGGATGCACGCACACTTGGAAATTGAAGATTGATCTTGATTAAGCGGATAGCACACAGAAGAACGTAAGCAATAAGACTGAATCAGTAAGAAAATATTCCAATCGAAATCGATTATTCTTGAAAGAAAAATTATTGAAAACTGTGGTGATCAATTTATACTTATTACTTAAATCTTATTGGTTACGTTCTTTTGCGTATTCGCGATTTTGGAGATACTAATGTATATTTAATATTAAGAAAAATAATGTAAAATAATAAGTAATGTATCAATTAATAAGAATTACGTATTATTATATAAAGTATTGCGTAAGATTATATAATAATATGTTCTTGTTTAAACTGTACATTGTAAAAACTGATGTGTTAAATTTAATATTTCATGTGTTCCAAATCATCCACTCTCATTTATGTGTAAATTTAACACAAAACAAATGTGGTAAAAAGTAACACGCATAATATGTAAAAAATTAACACAAGAATTTAACACTTAAATACCGTCAGGAATCACAATTTGTGTTAAATTGACATATATATAATGTTAAATCAACTAAAATAAAATGTTACTTTAACACTTGAAAGAAGTATTAATCTATGATTTTGATGAAATAAAAATATTAAATTGACATAATCCATGTCTGACATATTAAATATATCAATTTAATACAACCTATGATTCCTAACGATATTCAAGTGTTAAATTCTTGTGTTAATTTTTTCCATATTATGCGCGTTACTTTTTAACACATTTGTTTTTTGTTAAATTTACACATAAATGAGAGTGGATGATTTGGGACACATGAAATGTGTTAAATTTAACACATCAGTTTTTACAATGTGTGAAATAATACTATATGATGTCAATTGCCAGTTGAAATAATTTTTTAAAAAGCTGGAATAATTTATGACTACGAGAGAAGGATTTCTGAACTCGTATTCTTCGTATGCAACATCAAAATTTGTTGGAACTGAAGAATTTCAAGTACAACTCGGAAATTCGACCTTGTATTTTTCTGTCGAGTTCATACTCGAAATGCCTCAAGAATAATGAGAGAAAAAATTATGTGAGAGAGAGAGAGAGAGAGAGAGAGACATTAGAAAAGAAAAATTGCCAGCATCGAGGACCAAGAGATGAATTTGTGCTCGACAACTTGGCCACCACTGCACCGTTCAGTCGCAGGATGCGCGCATACGCGCGCTTAACTGGCACTCCGAAACAGGTCCTGCTTGTTTCCGAGTCGTGGGGCAACGGCGAGTCGCGCTGTCCGAACTAATTACCGGTCGCGGCGATAATCAGGCCAGGAATCCTTTCGCGACGAGAGTGTCGCGCGCGTATTTTCACTCGGCCGGCGCGAGGATTTGCGTTTCGCGCTCGCAGGTGGACTAGCCGGTGCGAGGATGTTACAAGGCGGAGAAGTTAGAAAGCATGCATCCGCATCGGACAACATCTCCGAACAACATCGACGAGACCTGCCACGGACGAGACTATCGTATTATCGACGGCGGTTTTGCAACGTCCTGCGCAGGTAAATCCGAAGGGGAACCTGAGTCGAAATTTTAGCTCTACTTCTCTTTTAACCTGAACTTTCGATCTGTACTAACATCTGTTTCTGAAGAATTAGTATAGATTTAAGATATACATGGAAACTGAAGTTCTATACTGAGAAAAAAATATCTAATAAATAGTAAATATTTATTCGCGATGGGAAGTGCTAATAACATATATTTACTTATACTATATTATCATGTAAATTGTTAAATAAATTATATTAATAATTAATAAACTACTTTAAATCAAAATAAATAAAAATAATTAATAATTAATATAAATTAATAATGAATAAATTATATATCATTATATAAATTTATAATATAAAATATTTTTTAAATAAGAAAATATAATTTTCTGAAAACCTTAAGAAAACCTAAGCTTTTTATGAAAGAAATTCTATTTAATCTATTTATGATATTTAAGTAGTTTATTCTATTTAAGTAATTCTATTTATTCTATTTAAATAAAAGAATTTAGGTTAACATATCAGGCTGTTAACGAGCGTAAATATTTTCTTGATAAAAAGTTTTGGAATTTGTACATACTAAACGTGTATTCGCTCCATTCAGGAAAATTTCAAAAGAAACATTTATAACCGAATTTACACGGAAAAAAAAAGATTTGCTAATATATGGACAACTAAAAATATTAGCTGCAGAAGCAAATTTTCTTGCTTTCACAGCAAAGTTATTAGTTGTAGTAGCTAAAAGATTTGCTAATATATGGACAACTAAAAATATTAGCTGCAGAAGCAAATTTTCTTGCTTTCACAGCAAAGTTATTAGTTGTAGTAGCTAAAAGATTTGCTAATATATATATTAACTATCTTTTAGCTATCATAACTAAACAACTTTGCTATGAAAGCAAGAAAATTTGCTCCTGCAGCTAATATTTTTAATTGTCCATATATTAGCAAATCTTTTTTTCCGTGTAGAAACTTAAAAACATACGAAGTTTACAGAAAAATTTTTATATGCGTGATTATGTGTCCCGCTAAATATAACGAAACAAAGCAGTACATATTTATATAAGATCCATATATATAACAAATACAAAAAAGATAGCATTATCGTGTTAGTGACAATCACTTCTACGTTATCACTTCTACGTTATTTTTTGAGTTCGTTGTCCACTTCAGAGCGCATCCCCTTAAATAAATACGTCATTAGCATCTATCAAAATAAATAGTTACTATTTTCTAAACATTTTTCTCTCACTTCCTGTATTCAGCGTCTCTAAATAGAAGAAGATTTACAAAATGCCAGCTCTATAGAACTCGGCGAAGTTAATAAGTCAAACAGAATAAAAAAGCGTTAGTATAGGCTTCAGTATCGAAGCAGATGTTAAGTGGAGTATCGAGGTCGAAAGTAGGATGAAAATTCCGTGTCGGGTAGAAAGCGGAAACGCGGAATTCTCGCTCGTCGTCGATTTTCAACTGTCGCCGTCGTCGTCGTCGTTGTCGAACTCGAGCAATTTTTTCGACCTTTGTTATTTCCTTCTCCGCCGATATCACTGTCAGTGTCGTGCGTAAACGGCAGAACTGGTCCGACTGCCTCGGCCGTATGCAAAACGGCCTTATTATATCGCGCCGCGCGTTGCGTTATAATTTATGTCCGTTTCAACATTTGCCACGCATGGGAGAGCGAAAGAGATTTACGTTATTACGTTATTGACTTTCATCGCGTTGATCGGAACGGCGTAACAGGTATGAGGGAAGTAACGCGAGTGTCGCTCACGCGTAATTAATATATCGCTTCTCGCGATGTTGCTCACGTTGCATCTGCATTGCATTTTTGCGATTGTTTTGAAACGCCGTATTTCATCGCGCTAGCTTTCTAAAGAAACGCCCCGTGACGCGATCGAACTGATCGAACTTTTCCGGACAGAGAGGTCTTTTTCTCCCAGCGATATTTTTTGCCCCGTGCCACTTTCCGCGGGGTGTTGCTAGATCACTTCGCGCGGCGTCATTCTGCACTGAAACATTTAATCGTTCAGTGAACACGAAGACGTTAAACGACCGAGCCTCCTCGTGTCTCGCGTCGTGTGAGCCGCGATAATTGATGTCGCGGACTTTAAATGCGAATTGCCGCGCGCGCTTTAACGCAGAGGTCGTACACCATTTACGCGCACTTTCTACGAATATTCTCCACGTTTTCTAGTGGATCCTATCTTTATGAGACCACACCGGGGACATCTGGCGCGGCACATAATGAGGACATTCTTGAAAGGACTCGAAATGCAATCTCCGCACGCCCGACAAATTGTCTGAGAACAGTGTCGTTCTCAGACACCCGGGCCAGCCGCACGAGCATCGCCGCGAGAGCACGGCGCGGCACATAAATAGCCGCAATTAATCATAATTATAAGTAATCAACGGTTCCGCTTATATAATTATTCTTCCAGACGTAAATGACTATGATTTTCAAAGAGACAACCCACCGTCAATCGGATGGCTTTTAAGAAACAAAATCAGGCATCTTTACATTGAGTGTCGTAAATCGGGGTTTCTAAGGATTCGTTTATGGAAAAAAAATAGCTGATAAGTAATTGTGGATACGTAATAAGTGGATAAGTGGATACGTAATAACATGGATAAGTAATTGAAATATAACATAGTACGATTAAAACCATGCGAATGAAATAATCCTATAATATAGGAATAATTCTAAAGAAATGTAGGAGTTTTTATCTGTATTCAATTTATTTAAGAAGTAATAGATAGCAATAAATTTATAGTCAAATATCCGTAAATAATAATAAATTATTAGGGGCTTGCCAAAGTTAGTTAAAATTTTAGCCATATTTTTTATTAATTATTTTTCACTATTTTATTATAAAATAGTGCCATAGTTATAGTCTTTCGAGTCATAATTTTTATTTTCAAACAATTAACTTTTTTTGTCTTATTTTAAAGGAAAAATTTCTTGTTAAAATTGGCTTATTATTATTTAAATAAATATAAATAAATTAAAAAAAATATATATATAATAATTAATAATACGAAATATATGTGTGAAAAAGTAAAACGAAAATATATGAGAAAATTTTGCACGCGACACTATCACTGTAACATTATTTTATAAGAAATCTTTTTAATCTTTTTGATTGAATTTGTACAAACGAAATCATGCAAACCAAGGAGACTCAGAGAGCATTAATGAACACTGTGACAATTTCCGCACAATAAATATAAATGAACCTTTTTATTTAAATGTAAATATATTCAATATATTGTACATATCCATTGAGCAGTTTCCTTTAAATAAATTCTCGAATATTATTATCTTCTTGGCTTGGAAAAATAATTTGCCTCCTACCTGCTATAATTATCCACTAATTTACACAGTCATTTAAATAATTATCCAATTACGCGTTTGAAAAATCTTTCGAACCGTTAAAATTGACGATGTAATGAACATTTGCAAGCCCCTAATGCATGCACATACTTGTTCAAGTTGTTGTTTGCGTCGGCTCATGTAATCGATATTATGATGCAAATGATCGTTTCATGTGTAATCGACGTTATATTTGCATTTATACGAAAGAAGCGAGGTAACACCTGGTGGCTCGGTCTGGCTTACGTCGAAGCCATTCGGCCGCCAGTGCGAATATGTATACGGATCACGCGGACCGAAGGTTCGGATTAGAACGTTCGATCG